ATTGTATACATATACATAAATATATATATATATATATATTTATATTTATGTATATGCATACAAAATATATATGTTTATGTATGTATGTATGTATATGTATGTATATATATATATTTATGTATATATATATATATATATATATTGTGGGTGGGTGGGTGGGTGGGTGTGCGTGGGTGGGTGTGCGTGTATGTGTGTGTGTATGTATGTGGGTGTATACATGTGTGATAGAAAGAGAGTGCGTGTGTGTTTACACACATGTGTGTGTGAATTTGTGTTTATGTACATGAGCTCACATACCATTTATTCGACTCTTAGATGGCCACAACTTGCTTCCCGTAAAGAATGGATGTTCGCTGGCTAGCACACCACCTACTACCGGTGTCCGCATACTATCCGAGCCTGTCTTCACGGTTTCAGTGGATTCAGTCTCGGGTGCATCGCCGAAAACATCCCAGCCGTCGTCATCCATTGTGATATGTGGGTGTATTGATTCAGTGCCTGTTTTATCCTGTTTTATGTGTGCTATACTTTATTGGGACGTATATGTGTCTTTCGCGTGTACAGAAGTGATATCCATCGATATCTACATAATTTTAAATACATAATATTTACCTGCGCGTGTTGTTTAGGGTTATAAATCCCAAGAAAAAACTGATGACGTAAAACTTATCCTCATTACGTTCTACGCACAAAGACTTCTTGTGCAATCGAGAGAGAGGATAAGAACTTCTAAAAGCCAATACTTTTTTACGTTTATTATGTACTTTCTGTCGACACAATATTATTTTGTGTTTTGCGTAGCGGAGCATCCCCTTTGTCACCTGTTGAATTTAGGAGGCTACCCGCTACATCCCTGAGGTACAAATAGCAAGAACGGTGTGTGGAAAAGTAAAGTGTTCGCTATATATAGTATAATACAGTAACCATATGTACTTTACGGCGACCAGATTCTAACTAAGCGTGTAATGTTTGCCACATAAACCACTATTCTTCATAAAATACGACTAGAGAAGGCATGTACATTTGATTTCAATACCGATGAACAGCGCTCGCTTTGTTGTAGTTAATATATATGATGCATGACACTGGTCTTATGTGTTTGGTTTGATTGCGTACCATATACATATATGCAAAAGTTCAAGTTTGGACAAACCGTCGCACACTGATTGAGATCATGATGTGAATTTGGTCTTGATATCAAGCGGATGTCGAAGCAATAGCTGAATATAACCCAACGCAACACATATTCATTGCCGTCTGCGCATTGTGTCGGATGTGTGCCTCGTTCTGATGGTCGATATGAAACCCTAAAACAATCTAGAGGGCTGGCGAGATATATTACTTAACTATTGAATGTTCTCATCAATTATACTATCGATCTCAGTAGGCTATGTGAGTCCGTGATATAACCATGCCTAGTTCACTTCAACTAAAGTATACTGCCACTAAATCCACGCGATACCCCAAGTTTTTGCGATGACATTGCGTATAATACATGAGCTAAATCATTCATGCGAAGATTTGCGACAACACTGTCATCTACGCCTGTAGTTTTCTTGTAATATCTGACTATAGTAGTTGGTTACGAGGGCACTATACAGAAGTAGACCACCAGCGCAAAAGTCATATGCTGCATATGAATAACGTATGTTCAATCTGTGGGATCCTTAATTTTGCCTGTTATATATATATATACAAAACGTTATCGAGTATGGAACGCTTTTCAACCTCATTGCTGCGTCGTTTCGTATGCCGGTGCAATCGCCATCGAAGCATGTCGCGGAGTGGCCGATATGCACTTGTGAGGCCATTTTGTACATATACCTATGAACCGCAGGAAACTATAGTCGCAGACAGCAGTAATGAGCATAAGACACCAACGAATTCGATTTGGCGGATGTCTGTAGCTTTGTATAAGCGCACTTATCGTCATAAACCAAAAGCTCAAAGCACAGTGCGGCGTATTTAACGTCCACGCGTCTAAGGTACTGACTGTCCAATCAGCATACTAGTAATCTGTAGTGGACACCCTATTACTTATTCCAGTGATATGGAGGATGCCAGCGAGGTTTAAATCACCGGCTATGTGTGCTAGCACGACTGTGCCGGCTAAATAAACGTAGTCCAGTCGTCGGCTTTCAGGATCCCAATAGGTGCTCATGCGGGGCACAGGCACGGCCTATTGAACTCGCTTGGTTGCGCTGACTGACATTGAATGGTTGCACTTTTTTTCTAACACGGGATACGATGACGAGACCAGCATACATATGCTAGTGGTCTGGTGCTCCAGCAGTGTTTGTTCTAGATCTCCCTGTGCGTGTAAAGCACAAAGGTAGTCAGAAACTTAGAAACTATCTATACTAAAGACATCTACCAGGTGTACACCTATACCAAAGACACATACCAGACTATTGTATATACCTATACTAAAGACATCTACCAGACTATTGTGTATACCTATACTTAAGACATCTACCAGACTATTGTGTATACCTATACTAAAGACATCTTCCAGACTAATGTGTATACATAAACATACGGAATGCTTGTATTTTACTTGTTTTTACACACAAATCCCTACGTCGATGTCATGTCGATCCCTTTAAGGTCGCTTAAGGCGGCAGTGGGGTTAGCAGCGGAGGTTTTCGACGCACCTCCCGCTAGAGGATCAAAATCGTCAATCAGTTCGGAGATCTGTCTCGAGTATGTGTGCTCCTCTTCCTTGGGCTCTATATGACAATATATACATAACGTGAGTGTGCAACCTATCGACCGGTGGACTACCGCTTAGAGGTGTATGGAGCTGATTGTTGGCTGATACTTGCACTTGTACTGGTGGGCGCTTATATACGGATGTTGGCATGAACTCAAACCAAGGTACGTTTACTTATGCGTATCGATATCAAAACTGACTACCCTTTACGGGACTATCTACACACACACACACACACAAATAACTCCGTACAAGACATGCATACTTGTCTACATATATTAATGCATACAGAGCACTGTGTGTCATGCAGGGCGTTAGGTTAAATACCTATTCCCACACTTCATATAGCATTTGTCTGAAAACTGTATATGTGTCTTTAAATCTGAATAGCTGAGATTCCAACACCTTGACGAATATAACTATCAAGCTGGAACCACAATCGCAGACGTATTCTTAACCAAGGCAGCGTCACAAACGAGTGAAACACGCGCCATATATACACACAAACACGCATGCATGCTAACAAGCACATAGACAATTCATTTCGATAACATCTAAGCCACCCGTAACCCACAAACACAACAAAAGCTCATACAGACATACAGTACACCGCAGAGCGATGTTGCACAACGCACACAGGCACGTACCCTCGTCAGCGGCAGCGGCAGCTTCTTTGACTTCTGCAGCCTCAGACGCCGCATCCACTTTGGTTGGCATGAGCAGATCGCCTCCAGTTGGAATGCTTTCAACCGCCGGTGCCACCTCCTGGACTTCAGCGTCAGTTGTATCTACCAATGACATCTTCTTGAAAGGTTGTTTGAGAGGGCCTGAGCGAGTGGAAAGGGCGTGTAATTGGTGAAGTCAGCGGCAGGGCAATGTTAGTATTAGACTTCGTGTATGGATTGCGTACCTCCTGAAACAGTATCAGCGCAATACTTGTATCCTCCGATAGGGACTAAGAAGTGCAGTTTGAAAAAAACGAGTATCACGTTAAGAGAACAATGTACATTGCAGTTACCCGAGAAAGCGGAAACTTTTGCTCACATCCGTGTACTACATTGAGAACTGATCCCAAATCAAGTACTTATGCGGTCGCGAACAGGAGATGATTAATCACGCCGTGATCGCTTATAAATATATATATATATAAATATATAAACATGAATATGAAAAA